AACCAGTAAGAAGAGGTGCATAAAACATACTCCCTAGATAATCTTATCCCTTGTGCGCAAGGCGCGTCAGGGCACCCAAGACTTACTGGATGAGACTGGGTCTGTTGGCACGGGATACGAAACGAACCTGCTCATGCCAGTCAACCTCAATCGGGGGCCTGCGCGTTCTTCCTGTTCCCGGAGGGTGGCAGCGCCGCCTCTTTGATCACCTTGGCAAAAGCATCTGCAGCGCCACTTCTTCAGCAGTATCTGAACAAACCTGCGCACACCTCGTAGGTAATCAAACCCTTCTGTGCAGGCTTGTAGATCTAGCTAAGACCATTGCTCACCTTTCTTGAGCTGAGGCCATCACACACTTGCACGGCGAACATTCCGTGGCATATCTGACGTCCTGGCACAAGTTGGGGGTCCGGTTCTCATCATGTTAACCACCTGTCTGCCCCCTTACTAAGGCAGCGATCCATGGCTATCGGCCATCACTTGCTATCACCGACTAGAATGGTAGTTTCCCAAAATGAGGGAACCCCAATATAGACCCCCAAATACGATAGTCCTTATTATAGGGACCCCACATAAGGCACCCCTAATTTTGGGAAACCCCCAATATCAAACTTCACTGCAGCTGTCAGTGCCTGCGACAGCAAGCCTTGCGTGAAGAGCGGACTAGGCTCGGTCCAGTAGTCTTGCCTGTAGCGGATGAAGTCTGCGGGGACTGCATGTCTGAAGGTCAAGGTAAGCCTTTAATTCTCAGAGAGCCAGCCTACTGTACAATATCCTTATCAGAAAGCCAAGCGGTAAAGATTGTCCGCCCAATGCCTCCAGCCGCTCTGCAAAGAAGACACCTCACTGGCCTTAAGGGGTTTTTAATGGCACATGTCAGATTCCCCGGTGAAGCGCCCTCTACGCTCTCGCGGAATTGAGGCAGCAGCAGGGTAGGGCAGAAAGGCAGCGGCGGTCTCGCCAGGCCTCAGCGATTTCCCCCCCAGCCTCCACACTTCAGTCTCAGCAAGCCTTAAGGCCGCAGGCGTAGCTTTCCGACGGCTGAATTTAGGCGGGGCCTCGCCAACCTCAGCTTGTACTGCTTACTATTCCTAGTAGTTGTGCTATGAATGTTGTTACTATTCTGTGCTGTTTGTTATAATGAATATTCCTTATATATATATATATAGAATATACTCTTTTTTTTAGTACTAGTAATAGTGTTTCGAATAATCTTGTTCCTCACCTTTAGTTCCAGCGCAGGAGGCCAGCAGAGCGGCTCCCAAAGCTGATTTTGACTTCGAAGGTCAGTTTGGGCTTTGGGGCTACAGTAACCTCAAGTAGCTAGAATATGAGATTAGGGTTTAGGATTTAGGGTTTGGGGGTTTAGGGTTCAGGGTGTAGCTTTCTTAGCCCTACAATGCTCCCCTTAAATAATCCCCTATACAACTCCCTTTAAGGAGTTTAGACGATAGCTCATATGGGGGCCTTACTATCATATTGAGCTTTTCCATATTCTATCTACTTAGGGGGGACTATACTATTCCATAATATAACATGATATACTATAATATACTAGAATAGACTAACATACTACTTTAATGGGGACTATACCAGTGCATAGGGCATAGGGACTGGCGGGATTTTGTGGATGCTGCTGCCGAGGCTCCTGGGACCTGGGAGCCTTGCTCGTCTCTCTGGGCTCCTGAAAGTGCTGCAAGATCTTGACACGACTTCAGTTGCGCGCAATCCCATAACTTACTTAGAAGGACATTAGGGGACGTAGAGGGTCTTATAAGCTGGGTTATAAGGCCTAATTAACTAAATCATGACTGAACTTCCAATCATCCAAAGCCAACATGCCCGACCTCAGCTTTGATGTGAGCCGAAGGCTCCCGCCTAGGTCTTGCAGCAACAGACCAGGTTGTATCTTGTTTGTTGCTAATGCCAGCCGTGTTCATTTCCCCGGTAAGCCGTCGTGAGCAGTGAATACAGATTGGCCAAATCTGTCTTCTCAGGCCAATGAGCTCAAATCACGCTAAATACATCCAAATACCGTGCAGTTCTGGGACGTGACCTGCTAAGGTCTTGCGTGTGTTGGGAAAACACTCGATGGGTGAAAATGCAGGCGCTGTGAGCCACCCTTTCGGCTCTCTTGTATCCCATTCTCAATCCATCGCAGCAGGCGCCAGCGTCGCCACGCAAGATCTTGAAGCTTTGTGTGATGCGTGGTGCTGCAAGCGCCTGCAGGCCTGTTTGAAGTTGCCGTCGGGTACGGTGGTCGAAGAGGGCGCGAACCCTCAACAGCACAGCCAGGGGTACACGCTGTGCATAGACCACCCAAAGAGGTCCGACTCGAACACATAGCTGACGTGCGCAAAGCCGGAAACCATTTCCACTCGCACGGCTGCCTCTGCCGCAGCGGTCCCCACGAAGCAAAAGTTTATCCAAGTCGCAGCCGAAGACTTGCACTGCAGCTGCAGAAATCGGCAGAGCACAGCGGCATGACGGTGCCACAGACAGGATGTATCAGCATTGCCAGGTCAAAGATGCTGGCAAGCTAAGCGCATAGTCCAATGGTGCCCCGATACAGCACTTTGCTGAAGCTGGCCTCAACCGCCTGGCACACACCACGTTTACTGGTTCTTTGTAGGGGATACGGGGGTACATTATGTGGGGATTATAGAGCATAGGCATTATGGGGATTACATATATGGGGATTAGATAGTATAGGGAGTATATTCCCTGTCGGGAATAAGGGAGTACAGTATATGGGGATTATATAATATAGGGACTATATTCCCTGAATTTCCCTGCTTCCCTAAGCACAATTTGCGGAAACTTTTGCAAGCCCTAAGTCCCAGTGGGCCAAAGCTCCCCTGCCTCTGAGGGGTCCAACACACCCCCGTCCAGCCAAACCGCAGCGAGGCCACCTGTAACAGTAATAGTAGTAGTAGTAGTAGTAGTAGTAGTAGTAGGGTTAGGGTTTAGGGTTTAAGGTTTAGGGTTTAGGGTTTGGTTTAGGGTTTAGGGTTTAGGGTTTAAGGTTTAGGGTTTAGAGTTTAACAGTAATAGTAATAGCAGGAGTAGTAATAGTAGTAGTAGTAGTAGTAGTAGTCGTAGTAGTAGTAGTAGTAGTAGGGTTTAGGGTTTAACAGTAATAGTAATAGCAGGAGTAGTAGTAGTAGTAGTAGTAGCAGCAGCAGCAGCAGTAGTAGTAGTAGTAGGGTGTAGGGTTTAGGGTTTGGGGTTTAGGGTTTAAGGTTTAAGGTTCAGTGTTTAGGGTTTAGGGTTTAACAGTAATAGTAATAGCAGGAGTAGTAGTAGTAGTAGTAGCAGCAGCAGCAGCAGTAGTACTAGTAGTAGTAGGAGTAGTAGTAGTAGTAGTAGTAGTAGTCCTAGTCTGTACAGCCAGCCACATGGAGGGGTTTGACTTTGGCTTAGAAGGGGGGATTCAGACATCACGTGAGACACACTTTGCTTACTGGCTCTTAGTCGGGAACAAGGGGAATATACCATATATAGGGATTATACAGGGATTATGTACGTAGGGATCATTTTCGCAGATTCCCTGCTAAGAACCAGTAAGTTTGGAAAGCTTGGAGACCTGACCTGGTACAGGGCATAAAGCCCTAAACCCTAAATCCCTAAACCCTAAACCCTTAAAACCTTACTCCTTAAACCCTTAAACCCTAAACCTTAAGCCCTAAACCCTAAACCCTTAAAAACCCTCACAGATCCTTGCATTAAAAGCTCCTTCCAACCTGCCTTGCTCCGTTACCTGCAGCTCGTGGCCGGTCCCATCCGCTGGGGCGCCGCGCTCCTGGCGCTGGCAGGGACAACAACAGCTACTTCCTCAACCAAAGACCCTAAATAGTAGTTTCCATTCTATGTTCCATTATCAATATAACCCCAATATTAACCCTAATGTTACCCCAATATTACCTCAATATTACCCCAATGGGTACAAAAAGGGGGATCCTTAGCCCGGCCTGCTATGTTTATTATATTTGGGTTATATGGGGATAATGGAAAATAAAATGGAACTGTAAGGGTTACAGGGATTAATGGAAAATAACAGGGAAACTATAAGGGATATAGGAATTAATGGAAAATAGAATGGAAACTATAGGGATTATATTTATATATATATGTATCTATCTATATAGGGGGCCCTGATGCAGTGTGTAATGTGGAAGCCAGCAGCTTTGCGTTGAAGTTGCCCCGCTCCTCCCACTGCCAGGGCTCCATAGCATAATGGCTTCCACGCGTTGTGGGTATCAGCACCTGTGTTGGGATTATATAAGGTTTATATTGGGGTTCTAGGGATAATGGGAAACAAAATGGAAACTACTGTACTATAATGAGGATTACATAGGGATAATGGAAAATAAAATGGAAACTCCTATGATATGATGGGGATTCTAGAGGGATAACAGAAAACAAAAAAACTACTATACTATATATCGAATATGGGTGGGTCTCTGCCGGCTTAAGGCTTGGAGGAAGGCTGGAGCGGTCAAATCGGCAGCTTTGCAAAGTAGCTCAAGGCCTATGCTAACCCTACCTCCCGAGCTGCCTCATGAGTTTGTCAAGAAACATCACATCGCATCGCCTCCCTCCCCTACGGCAACCCATTGAAGAAAAAGCTTTTCAAACTGGTTGTCATGCAACCTCTGAACCGCTGTCGCTGCGGCTTGCCAGGTCAAGGAGGTTTTCCAGTCCAAGCTCTGTCCGCCCGACCTCGCAAGCACTGCCCGTGGGTCAGTAATTATTGGGGTAATAGTATAGGTATATTATGGTATATTATAGTATATTATAGTATGTCATATTATGGTATATTATAGGTGCCCCCACAAGAAATCTTTCCAAGGCTGCTGCAGTCAGCGTGGATGCAAGAAGGAAGTAGACAAATGGGTCTCCCGTGTAGCTTCCTCTGAGGATATGCCTGAGCGATTGTGATCGGATGAAGGTCTTCTAGAATGACACTTGCGCCAGCACATGAAACACGGCCAAGGCACTCCCCGATCTCCATACGGCTGAAGCCCGGGCAACGAATCAGGTCCACGGAGGTGCCACCCAGGTAAAGGGTGCAGATCACCAGCGTCCCGGCTTTCGAGATGTCCGGTGCCTGAAGGCACTGTGTTTCATGTAGTGGTTAGCACTTCGGCTCCCCAGCGAAAAGCTCAGTGCAAGCTCAAAAATTCTTAAGTGAGAGCCTGTAGGCAGCTGGTGGTGTGTCGAAAGCCACGGATGCAAATGGACGCCTGGTTCAGGTTGCCCTCCAAAGCCTCTGCCTGCAGTGACCAAAAGACAGAATTATGTCAAGTGCAAGGCTGCAAGACTTTCTTTCGGTCAAAATACATGACGGCAGGTGATATCGACGGAGCTGCAAATCATATTGAAGCCGAAGCCACAGGATCGTCGGTAAGACAAAGGGCTGCCCAGACTGGATCTGGAAAGAAGTTGAGCACCTTGCAGGCGCCCGTGGTCGGCATGGAAAGGCGTGAAAATCGGCTCACGAGATGGGGAAAACTGCTGCTGCCATTACTTCAACCATTTACTCCCTCCCAAGGAGATCGCTGCGTTGCTGTTAACGCTCATTGCACCTCCTGGAACAAAAGTACCAAACCAATTTAAACTCTCGGGCACAACAGACACTCCAAAAAAATGAAGTGTAGTCCCTTACCTTCATCTCGCAGAGCCACCAGTACCTTCAGTATTCCTGTTGCAAGAGCAGCAGTAAGAGTAGGAGTAGAGTAGGAAAAGGATGGAGAGAAGTAGGTGCCGGAGCAACAGCAGCAGCATCTGCAACGACGCCATTATAAGCCCAGCCCTTTTTTGGCTTGACTTTCACACACTTGTTTACTGCCCTGGGACCTCAAGTGCCAAGTTTGCGCCAGATCGGTCCAGGCGTAGTGCCTCAGCCTCGACCCCACTGTGGAACCTGGCAAGGCAACGTGGGCAGAGTGGTTTTCAAAGAGCCATCATTGCAATGAACGCGATTTCGAGAACAAGGTGGTCATTGCAGCAACCTTCACGGCAACAGGATTTCTTTTAAGCACGAAGCTCTACTGGGATTTCAGGTTTGCAAGCTGCAGGTTGCGGAAATGACTGAGACCTTTCCATCCCCTGCCTCCAGACGAAGTGAGCTAAAGCTCGAGGGGAGTACTGGGATACCAGGCGCTGCAGAGCTGAGTCCTTCGAAGAGAGCGGAGCTCTTCTTGGCTTTTTAAACAGTTCCCTGGTAGGCTCCGAAATAGGGGTACACCAATACAGGCCCCAATGTACTGCAATCCATATTATAGGGAATTCCCAAAGCCAAAGTGGTACCCCCTAATTCTTGGAAACCCTAATCCCATAAGTCCCTATAATGATACCCAGATGTAACCCCGTAGAAACCCCTTTTCAAGGTACCCCCTCTTTGTGAAACCCTAAACCCTAAACCCTAAATAATAGTTTCCTTTTTCTTTTCCATGATCCCAATACAACCCGGATATGATAACCCCAGTATTTGACCCCTATACATCCCCTTATAATACAGCAGTTTCCATTTTCTCTTCCATTATCCCATTCTAATCCCCGTTACCCCTGAATTTTTGGGGAAAAAACCCTAAACCCTAAACCCCTAATTTTGGGAAACCTCCCAGCAGTCCTCCTGCCATCCCAACAACTTGCCATCAAAGCCCTCCGGCAAGCAAGCAGCTTCAAGGCCTGCAGCTCCCACAATCCGAACAATGGGTTTAGGGTTTAGGGTTTCAGGTTTAGGGTATGGATTTAGGGTTTAGGGTTTAGGGTATGGATTTAAGGTTTCAGGTTTAGGGTATGGATTGTTTAATCCGAAGTGGTTCAGGGTTTACACTCCCGGAAACTA